AATAGTGGCACGTAAGTGACAATTTTTTAGTCATTTTTGACGTAATCATTGGATGTTTCTGCGTTAAATAACTAGTTCAATTAATAAAAAAACTGCTAAATTCGCCATTTTTTTCTTTTCACCAAAAATTATAATCTTTTGATTTCCGGCCAAACGGCAAATTTTTATGCAAAGTTATTTTTATCTCGCGACTTGTGCATATCGTCTTTTTCAAGTGGTACCGAGCCATCATAAATGGTTAAACCAGCAGTTGTAGTTCCTTCTTCTTTATTTTTTTTGCCATGTCATCCTGCAAAGCCTTGAAATTTAACTTTCATTTTATCATCAAAATTATTAAACTCCGGAAAACGATTTTTTTAATTCACTAGTTTCTTGCGCAATGTATTCTGGTGAGATGTCGGAAGGCAGATCTTCTCCTTTATCATTTCTTGCTAGTTGGATAATTGTTGGCTCAGATAAATTTTCCTGATGAATAAAATTATTATAGAAAATTTTCATGCAATTATCAAGCTTTAACCTTATTTCTTTATCTTCCTCGGATTTTTCCTGTAAATCTTGTTCCGGAAGTTTTTCTTCAAGACCAAAAGGATAAAATTCTTTAAGCCATTCCTTTTGTGCTTTTAGGCAATTCTTTGCTTCCGTTTCAATTTTTTTTGGATCTTTAATTGAGTTTTTAAGTCTATTAAGTTGCCTTTGTATTAGTAAAATTTTACGAGTAATTTTTTCCCTTTCTTGGTCATCTTTTTTTTCTAAAGTTTCTTGATCTATTTCTTGATCTATTTTTATTTCTTTTAATACTTGCTTAAATTTTGCCCTAGTTTTTGGTTTTAAGGTAATGTTGTGTTTTAATTCTTTAGCTATATATTCCTTTTCTTGAATATTTCTTTCATTATAACTGACGATACTGTTATTGTTTAATTCCTTATATTCGACATTTTTTTTGTCTTTAATTCAAACTAATATTTGTGCTAATTGGCGTTCTTCTTTAGTATAATAAAAATAAATACCTCCGAGAATTAGTAATAAAGATAGGGAAAAGATAGACAAATAAAAAGAAAGATTACTTTTCCGTGAATTTTTCTTGGTATTTTTCATATTGATTATTTAAATAAGTTTTAAGGTCGTTGATATTTATCCTTTTTTCTTCTTGTTTCATAGTGTCGCGATGACGAAGGGTAATGGTGTTATAATCAGGGTTAAGCCCGCTATTTGGAAGATGCTTGTTAGTAGTTTCATCATCTACCGTTAGACAATAATAAGTGCCAATCGCATCTTGGCGACGATAGCGATTGCCAATATTACCGGTCTCTTCATAAGCAACCGAAAAAAATGGATTTTTTAGCAATTCACAATATAGCTGGTAGGACTTTTCTCGTAAAGAATTTTTCACGGGAATTACGGCTACAAAATAAGGAGCTAAAAGAGGATGAAGTTTCAAAACCTCGCGAGTTAATTGAGAACTAGTTACCGTTTCTTTTTGGTAAGCATCTTCCAAAGTTGCTAACATTAATCTTTCTACTCCAAAGGAGCTTTCCACTACTTCAGGAATAATGCCATTAACCCGAAAATCTTCCCCAGAATTTTGGCTGTGTTGGGATAAGTCATAATTTCCGCGATGAATATTGCTGCACAATTCTCCTCAACCAAAATGATATTGAAAATAAAGGTCTTGGGTCTTTTTAGCATAATGGGGTAGTTCTTCTTTTGTTAAGTCTACTTGTTTAATTTTTTCTTGGTCATTGACAATAATCTTTTGCAGAAAATTCCAGGCTTTTTCTGTTCAATGATCTCATCATTTTTCACTTTCCTCGCTTGGGCAGAAAAATTCTAATTCTAACTGTTCAAATTCACGGGTCCGGAAAATTCCATGGTGAAGCGTGATTTCATTGCGAAAACTTTTACCAATTTGACCGATACCAAAAGGTAGTTGCCGGCGGGTGCTTCTTTGGATAGCCGCAAAATTAATAAATATTCCTTGGCAAGTTTCTGGTCGTAAATAGGCTACATTTTCTTTTCCGTCGGTAATTTCTAAGTTGGTGGTCAAGAGTAGGTTGAATTGGTGAGGAGGACAAAACTTATTCTTTCCACAATTGGAACAATTATCTTTTATCAAGTAATTTTCTTTGACTTTTTTTTTTAAAAAAGTATTAAATTCTTCAGTGCTAATTAATTTATCAAGGCGATATCTTTTTTGACAAGTTAAACACTCCACCATTCAATCATGAAAATTTTGGCGATGACCGGAGGCTTCTAAAACTTGAGGATGGGTAATTATTTGACTATCACAGCCTATATTATAAGCACTGGTAGTAATAAAATACTTTCACCACAGGTTTTTTAAATTTCTTTTTAATTCAATTCCATAAGGTCCTAAATCTCAAGATTTAGCTAAGCCACCATAAATTTCCGCATTAGAAATAAAAAAACCATAATGTTTTAGGTAATTAGTGATATTTTTCTCGGGCATGGTTTACTGAGTATTTCTTCGTTTGCGATGAGCACTAATTTTCATAGTAACAGAAACTAGGATAGTGATGCTTAGGCTAATTACTGCGGCAATCCCAAGGTTTTTTGGTCAAGAAAATTCAGAGTTTTTTTGTTCTTCTGCTATTTCTCTTTGTAGTTCGGATACTAACTTGTCTACTTTTTTATTATGTTTTTGATAAACTTTCTTTTGGTAAGCATTCCCAGAAATAATTTTTAATATTTTGTTAAGTAATTCTTCTTTCTGAGTTCTAGTTAAATTACTTTTGCTAGTTAATATTATTTCATTTAGTTTTTTCTCAACTCCTTTTTCAATAATAATTTCTACAACTTCTAACTTTTTTTCTACATCACCACTTTCTACTGCCTCTTGAAATTTTTCTTTAGCTTCCTGGCTAAGAATTTCTTTGCTAAGCCCATTGCTTTTTAATTTTTCCTCCAACTCTTCCTCAATTGAATTTTTATAATTCTCAGGATTTAATTCTTTTAATCTGTCTTCAATAGCACGGATTTTTAACTTATATTCATTATAAGAATAAAAAGTCTGGAAAAATTTAATTAACATTAAGTTAAGTTTGGATGGAAGGTCTGTGTTCAGTTCGTTATGAAAAAACTTGTCAATCTTGACTAAAGA